CCTTCCTGCAGAGTAGCCCCAACGGAATACAGCTGAAAAGTTGTCAACTCACCTAAGCCTTAAAAGGATTGCTAAACCCAGGAACCTGGAGATGGAGTAAAACAAGAGATTCCACAAAGGAGACCAGCTTTAAGATTTACATAGTTGCAGTGTTTGAAACAAAAGGTGACTTTTCCCTCTATTTTTTTCAAATTCATTGTGGCTAAGCCAAAAATAAATAGGCACACCCTTCAAATTTAGTTGCTATGTCTTCAAAATGGCACAATCCTCCTTGGGGTAGAAGTGCCTTATCTGTGCTGAGAAGCACTCAGTTCTAAAAGGCCCAGAGTGTTCAAAACAGAAGCTGGCCATCAGAATTGAGAAAAACATTTCTGAAATCAAAGGGAATAGTTTATAACCACTTATTTATTAGTGCCTGAAGCATCCATTCAGTAACATGTAAAATGAGAATTTTTTTTTAATGTAAAGCAAGTGTCTTGCCAAAAATGAGGCAGGGCTTAGGTATTTTTCAAGCTTGCAACTTTAAGATGTGTAGACTTCAATTCTCAGAATTTCTCAGCTAGCATATAACTGGGAAATTCTGGAAGTTGAAGTCCACACATCTTAAAGTTGCCAAGTTTGAAAAACACTGGTTTAAATACAATATCCATACAAATATTTTGTTTCTTCAAGTAGGCAAGAAATGGTGATCTCTTTTCTCCAAGTCAAGGCATTAAACAAAAAACCTCATAAAATACTTCTTTTCCTTTCAGGCAACTGTCTTATAAAAATTGGGTGGGGAGCTTTAAAAAGCTTTAGATTGGAATTCCAATCTAAAAGAAATTATTGCACAGACCTCCTATTGGAGATAGGTCTGTCTCATGTCTATTTCTGGAAAAAAAGCTGAAAACAGAGCTTTTGGGATAATATCATAAAATCTTTGGGATTTTATTTCTTTCATATATATGTATGTTTGGGATTTTATCATTATTTGTGAAGCACCAAGAGTCCTATGGTTCTGCCACGATATAGGTTTGATTACTAAAAACAGATAAATAAGATGGATAACATTATTTTATAATAATAGATTTTACAAGTAAAATTGTGAAATCAATCCTTATAATATATCTATTAATATAGCAGTCTTAAATTGAATAAAACCATAATATCCTATAGGTATTTAGAATAGAATAGAATAGAATAGAATAGAATAGAATAGAATAGAATAGAATAGAATAGAATAGAATAGAATAGAATAGAATAGAATAGAATAGCAGAGTTGGAGGGACCTTGGAGGTCTTCTAGCCTAACTCCCTACTCAGGCAGGAAACCCTATACCATTTCAGGCATATGGTTGTCCAATCTCTTCTTAAAAACTGCCAGTGTTGGAGCATTCACAGCTTCTGGAGGCAAGTTGTTCTTGACTCACATACATTCATTTAGTGACTGTTCAAAGTTACAACAGCACTGACTTTCTGTCCTCCAACTTACAACCACTTCAGCATACCCAAGGTCGTATGATCAAAATTTGAGTGCCTGGCAACTGGCATATATTTACGATGGTTGCAGCATCGCTGAGTCATGTGATCACCATTTGTGATCTTCCCAGCTGGCTTCTGGCAAGCAAAGTCAATGGAGGAAGGCATATTTGCATAAAAACCATGTGATTCAATTAATAAAAAATGCAGTGATTCATTTAACATCAATGGCAAAAAAGGGTGTAAAATTGGGCACGACTCACTTAATCTTGCTTAGCAATTGAAGTTCTGGACCCAATCACGGTCATAAGTTGAAGACTACCTGTACTTTAAATGAATCGGAGACTTGTTTAAGGTAAAGAAAAACACTTATCATTTTTACATATTTTTGCATATTTGACCATACAGTCTTATCAACTTACTACTGGAAAGCCATTAATATTGGCTCAAGAGTCTTACACACACAAATAGGATTTTTTCTTCTTCTCAGCCAAGATGAAATGAAAATTTTAGCCTGCATCTCTCAGAGAAATCATATCAATGACAACAGAGAGGCCATGTCATTGTGGTGTAGCTGAGTGAGTGAATGACTTCAGTAGCGTGTGGGATCTGGAATCTATCTCAATAGGAATAGCTTCTTCAGCAGAGTGACAACTATAATTAGCATAGAAACGTCTGACGAAATAAAGACAGAGTGAAATCCAGAAATGAAAAATAGATTATCTGCTGTCAGAGAAAACAACAGACAAGAACAAAGATGTGGTTATTCTAGGTGACAAGGCATATATAGCAGGAAGGAAGCTGAAGAATAAAAATGTGATGGGGAGACAATGAGAGTCTCAAGGCACCTAAAGGAGAGAAGAATCGTATTAAAGATAGTAACTGGATCAAAGTTGGATAAGAAAAAAAGCTGCTACAAAGTTTACCAGAGGGAGAAAAACTTATTTGGTAATGATATAAGATAAACATCCACTCTTTGGTGGATGCAGAAAAGAAAGAGTTGGAATTTAGATCTGTGGGGAAGATGAGGAAACTCTGTAAGGTCAACAAAGGTGCTCTAGTCAAATATTACGGGGCTGACCCACATCCTTTTGCTTCACAAGGTCAGGAAGCCAATGTGCATACAACTCAACAACAATCCTACTCTGCTGGGTATTGGAGGTTGAAAATCCCACACACCCTTCTTTTCTTTTTTGGCAGTAAACACATAGTAGCAGTAAATTAAGTGAGTAACAGTTTGCTGCTTCCTTATCATGACATATAAAAACAGTCAACTCTGGAGACTAATTCAATCAAAATGTGTTAATGAAAATATTTTCTCTTCCTTTAGGACTGCCAGAAAAGGCACTGGGTGCAGGAATGATTAATTATTGTTTGTGGAGCTGCAGTTTTGAGATACTGCTAAATTCTTGGTTTTCTTTCGCACTAAATAGCTCTGTCTCGGAGGAATAAGAAATGCTGAAGTTCCTTCATGCACATAATGATGTAATCCTATGACTACATCTTCATATGATTAGATCAATATAAAGTTAACCTACTGATAAAATGTGAATTTTCCAGACCTTTCCAAAATGGATTTTACCTTGGCAATAAGCCATCTTCAATTAGACACTTCCCATATTTACAAAAATCTAACCTAACATAGGATTATCAAATTTATCATTTTAAGATTTTCTTTGGTATAAACATGTGCTTCATATGACTATATGAAAACAGGTAACTTTTGTTTTTATTTTATTTAAACTGTACTAGATACTTCCAAGGCTCTCCTTCACAGAAAAGATTATGCCTTCTTCTTTTAGAATATACTGAGGTGAAGTCAAATATCATTTTCCTATGGTTTGTTCCTAGTCCAGAATTTTCTATCTCATGGCTTTCCAAAACTGGTATTTTGATTTGGGTCTTCCTCAAGCTTTTTATCCCTCAAGAAGTCAATATAGAGAAAGCATTAGGAGCTCTGACTCCTATAATATATCTTGCCAGATCTTCCAAATTTGTTTGTGCCCTTCCACCTCCTCCTCCTCATCGTAGCACTCTTTCAGTACCCCTTACTTCTTTCATCTCCACAGTTGTGCTTCTCATTGGAAAAAAGGTAGGGCGAATTGTGATGATATAACTCAGTGTAATCAGCCACTTGCCTGACCATACAGTCAGCATAAGGGGGAGATGCATATGTCTGTATTAGTTTTTGTCTAGATTAGTGAATTGTATGAATGCACAGCCACAAAATCCCAACTGCATGAGATATTGTTAAGTACAATTATTATTTTTTTTAGTTTTTAAGATACCACAAACCTTAAAACTTTAAATCTTTTTAAATTGCTGCTGTCCAAAAATAACATGATTCATATATGGGACATAAGAACAAGGCAACTGTTCCAGGCTTTCATAGAAATGTCCTATGGATAAAGCAGCAAAGTCTTAATGCAAGATTTCAGTTCCATAAAATATCTCATGGTCAACAAAAACTGAATATTAAATCAGTGCAGTTCTGTAACCTGAATGAGCACAGTTATATTAATCTTTCAAAGGTTGTGGACCACAGAGCTACAGCAGAAATTTCAGTCAGTTTTGTGCTAACTTCTGGTTCTAGGATAATAGTGTTATATTCTCCAAACCTAATGACATTTAAGGATCTTAATCTCTCTTTCCATTCAGTCCCTTATGCTTCTGGTCATGTCCGTCCATGTTCATTTCAAGAGCTGAATCCATATTTTTGTGGTTTTATCTGACACTGGAGAAACTGGGACTTTTTTTTTTTTTTTGGCAACACTGAGGTTTGTGAAAAGTCTATTTTTCAATTGGTTTACTCTTGTTTTACTTGGCTTATCTTGTGTGTTCTTGCTTAGCATGTGCTGTGACTTAAAAACAACCCAATTTTAGCCATTTGAATCAGTTTTACTTCTGGGCATGTACTCCGTGATCTTCCAGTTGATGATTGGGTCAGTTATAGACACTAACTGAAGAAATTCCACCCTCTTGCATTACAACAATGAATCCTGTTCTGGACTCTTAACTGACAGGGCAGAAAATCATTCACTAAATAGCAGCAGATGCGTGAAAAATATTTTTGAAACTATCTCATTATATTAGAGAAGCATTCATTTTCAAATAAAAAGTAACCATACCATATCACTTAAATATTCTCTTTGTAAGTTTATCATTCCTTCAGGCTACAACTCCGTCCTTGTTGCCTGCCTGAAGGAAAATAATCAGAATGACAAAGTTCAGAGGCCTTCTGGGAATAATGTTGAGCCGGGGTATTGTTGCGGGCAATAAAAAAGGTCAAGATGGCAGCCACAAATACAGGATTGGAGTCTTGTCGCTCTTTACATGTGTTATGGGAAAAGAACATTAAAAAGGGTCGGGACTTCAATTATGTAGTTTGGACTGCCAATCTGACTTTTTTTAACCTTCCGCCCTGAAAACTTCTGAGTTGAGCTCTGTGGTAGCTCCAAAATTCATACTTTAAAGAATAGCGTTTTAAAGCAAATACATTAGGAACTATAATGAAACTAATTAGAAAAGGATGGGCATTTCTACCTTGGTAAAAGTCAAACAGTCTTTGTCTTGATCTTTGTCCTTTATTTCAAAGTCATAAAGTGCTTTGCCTTGTGGCGGGGCTGGTGGAAGAGGCTTGATACACTGGATGTAGCTTGCTGGGAAAAAGCCATGATTTCCATTCAGTTCCCCATGATACCAATTCTCATCTACTTTTCTGCGCAGTATAATAAGGTCTCCTTTGTTAAATTTGAGGTCACCGGGTTCTTTCCCTTCGTAGGCATAAAGAGCTTTTCCATAGGGAAGCTGAGTGGGGTTCTGCAACAAAAAAAGAAAAATACTATGTACTATTATGCAATTAATTATAATATACATTATTGTTATCCTTTGTTGCACGTTGCCTTTTTAACCATTTCTCATCTTAGAATTCACTACAAAATAGTTTAGTATGAGGCAACTACAAATCAAACTCTTATTTCCTGCACTTGGGACAAAAAATGTCTCATACTATTTTCTTATATGGACAACTATGTAAGAATGTTTCTGTTATATCCAACAGCTGTTTCAGAAATTGTGACTGTTAATAAGGTAATTATCATTCTCTGTATCCACTATATTTTCTGTATCTCTTTGTTAAGCAGATACAGAAATTTCCCCTCTTTTTCAAGCTATTCCCTCCTTGTAAGCTAGTTTTCTTCGCATCCATTGCAAATTAATTGACCAGTGAATCTCTAAATTAGACAGAATTCCTCTCCACTTTTCCTCTACTTACTCTAATTAAAAAGAGACTCCTAGAGAATGTGGCTTCTAAAGCACTTTCTCTACCAAAAATAATAAAAACAAAAAAACCCCAACCCAAGTAATTGATTAGCCTTACTGATTTCCTCTCAGCTTTCTTCTATCAAAAAATGAAAGGAAGAATGTCCATCTATTACGAATGTAGGTTAGTCATACAAATGAAGCAGCCATGGAAGTCTCAGCATTTCTTGTATGTCCACATTGCAGAATATGACTTTATTTTGAACCAATCAATTCTGATAAGACAAAGTGGACGATTACGTGTACTTGGGGGAAAAGTGAAGTCCTAATGACATGCTGGGGATTCAATCATTGAGCATTTACATTTCAGATAAATCAAATGGCAGCACTTAAGAAACTACAAGCAAACAAACAACAATCACGAGGCAATTAAATGGTAACTAGGGCCTTGAAACCTATGAATTGATTGCTTAGTAGAAACGATTGTATGACATTCAGTGCGTCACCATCTTCTTTCCCTGTTCAAAAGCTTTCAGCCACCGAAGAGCTCTCCGTTGTCTATTCTCTATTATGCAAAGTTCCTCTTATCCTCTGGTTCAGTGTGAAGGCTTCCCTCAGCATTATTCTATTTTCTCAAAGATTTCTTTTTAAATCGCCAATACCTCATGTTTCTGTTTCAGCCTATCTTATGCCTTGTTGGCTCAATTTCTTTCTCTCCCCAGCTTAGCATGTTGCCACTTCTCTTTTTAACATGCTGTGACACTTCTCATTAACCTCCTCCTGTCTCAGTTCCTGATCTCCTTTGAGCTTTTCCTCCCCTCTCTTTTACCTCCCCTTTCTGTTTTTCAGTCCACGGCTTCTTTACATGCTTCTTCATTTCTGAACTTCATGCCTATTAGTTTATTCTGCATCTGGGAACCTTTTTGTTACAATTTTCACTCTACCACACAGATGAGCAACAAGCAGAAGCTTCAATTCAAGACAGGTAGAAATCCTGTCACCGAGAAATATACTAAACTGGAGATTTAGGCATTCTCTGGAAGGACCAAATATTGCAATGTCTTTGGAGCCATCATCTACAGTAGTAGACTGGGGTACTTTTTCCAGCATTGTGCAGCAGTAGCAATTTTTAATTTATTTGTTTATCTAAAGAATGTAATATAACTCAAACATTGTAACTCTGGGCAGCTTACAACAGAAAACAAAGCAACAAAAACAACAGCCAATAATAATCAGGAATAGGCAACTTGTTTGACATTCATACCCTTTCCTGATGAGTTTACTCATTTTAGCCCCAATGCTCACGGGAATAGCCAAGTTTTAAATTTTACTTAAAGGTCAGCAAAGTTGGAAACAACTGAACATTGGGGGTAGGAAATATTTTAAAGGGCAGATGCCCCTAGAGAAATGGAATGGCTTCTGGGTTTCATCAGATGACACTACCTCAAGGCATGACCTAAAGCATGCCCATACTATTAGTGTAGGTAAGTTCAGCAGATATCTCACAATAATTCAGCCCTATGTCATGTAGGGCTTTATAGGTGACAAGCAGCATTGCCCTTGAATTGCCCTTGGAAAGTAGTAGGAGCCAGTGTAGTTCATGAAATAGTGGTGTTATACAGGGGCATACTAAAGTACAGATAGTCCTTGATTTACAACCATCCATTTAGTGTTCAAAGTTACAACTGCACTGAAAAAGTGACTTATGATTGTTTTTCACATTTATGACCATTGCAAATCTCCGTGGTCACATGATCAAAATTTGGCCACTTAGCAAGTGGCATATTGCACTGTCTCAGAGTCATGTGATCACCATTTGTAACCTTTCCAGTTGGCTTACGACAAACAAAGTCAACGGGGCAAACTAAATTTGCTTAATGATTGCATGATTGACTTAACAACTGGAGTGATTTACCTAACAACCGTAGCAAAAAATGTCGTAAAATTGGGCAAAACTCACAACAACTGCCTTGCTTAGCAACATAAATTTTGAACTAAATTGTGGTCATAAGTTGAGAACGACCTGTTCTGGGTCAATTATATCTTCTGAATGGTTTTCAAGGATGGTCCCATGTACAATGTTTTGCAATAGTCCACACTCTGAATCACAACATCAGTGACGGCAAGCAGGGCTTTTGAATTGGTGCAACTGCTTCACAAAATGAAATTCTGCAAACACCCCATAGTTGCCATTTGCTCACTGAGCAGGAACTATGAATCTAGGAGGGCTGAGCACTGTGTCTAAGAGGAAAAGTATAATCTCAACCAGAACAAAAATGGAAAATCTCCAGTTCCAGAATTTGAGATCTTGTCCCCTACATTTTCAATTATATTTAATTATATATATATATATATTTACATTTACAATTATAGAATATTTACATTGTAGCTGGGCTTCTTTATTAACTTCTCATAATAATACATTGCTTCAATACTAATTACAATAGTTGTCTTAGTATTTTGGGGCCGAAAGTGTGGATTTTGAATTTAAATAATTTGTGTTGTCTTTTGTACTTATATCTTATATTGTAGACATTAAAGACTTTGCTCCCTATCCTACTATTAGGTTCTGCGGTTATTGGCACTCACATTGAAGGCCCACCTATAAAATTTCTTTCAGAATATTTATAATTGATTTCCTCTGCCATTTGTAAAAAGCTTTAATATGTGATTCCAACTTTGGGCGTGTCAAATTTTTCAACTTTCAATTTCCAAACATTAGGCATGTTCCAAAGTTGTAATATGCCTTGAAGATTGTGAAGATATTTTGATTAATTTAATATAATTTAGATATGCTTGGTAAGTAACTACATAAATATAATAACTTTTAAATATTTTCTTTGTTTCATTTGATACGGTTTTTGCTGTGTATCCTTTTACCCTACCACTGACTCAATGTAGAATCATAGAAGTTTAGATTTGTTATTGCATATTCTACATTTCTTTTTTTGTCCAAAGTATTTTGGATTGCTTTGATTGGCTCAGCTCTTCACCTGATTTAGAAGTCATCTGTAATAGTACAGGGAGTCCTTGACTTAAAACAACAATGGGGATTGGAATTTCTATCACTAAGCAATGCAGTCATAAAGTGAAATGTCACATGACCACATCACTTAGCGACCACAGTTCTGGCAATCTCCGTTACCATCACTAAGTGATATTTTTTTTTCCCAGATGATTAGCCAAGGACTGATCTACAATCCAACCTGTTTCAGGGTTGGTCCTTTTCAGTGTTGAGTCTCACTTCACAGATGTCAAATTCGCAGCATCACGTTGTCATCATGTGATGTATTACAACATTTTCTCCCTTTGCGGAAGGGATGGGTGTGGCCTACGCGTGTCACATCCGGCCTGCAGGCTGCCAGTTTGACATCCCCGCAGTAAGATAAGGGACTGCCTTCAACTCTGCCCACCTGCCTATTTTTCCAGTCCCATCTCTGCTATTTGAACCTTCCTGAATCTTGCCTTTGGAATGGAAAACAACTCCAGAATCGCATGGCTCTGTGCTGCTTGCCTCACTGCGGGAAGTCATAACTGCACCAACCCAGTCCCAGTTGCCGTCCCCCCACTCCAAGATCCTTGCTGCCCTGCCCTTCACTTCTGCTGACCATCACTGTCTTTTTGATTCTGTTTGATGGCTGTGATGGCTTGCAATGAAAAACCAGCCCTGCCTCACCCATAAGCTCTTTGCAAAGGGAAATTTCTTTGCAAAGAGCTCCTGGGTGGGGCTGGTGCTGGTTTCATGTTGTGAAAAGGGAGAGGGGGGAAAGGCTGCTTTTGACTTTTTCTTCTTTTTTGCAGCAAAAAGCCAGCACCAGTTCTACCAAGGAGCTCTTTGCAAAGGGGTGGTATGGTGTACTGCGGCTTAAGGGCTGCCTTTGGCTCTCCCCTCCTTGCATGAAATCAACCCCATGTGGCCCATCAGCAGGCTGGGCACACCCCATCAGCAGTGGAACCAAGTAAACAGTGAAGGTCAGCTAGGGCAGCAGAGTGCAGGGTGCAGAGGGCCATAAGGGCATAGATATGGAGGAGATAGTGTTCTCCCCAATTCAGATCTGCACCTGATGCCAAAGCCATTGAAGAACACTAGACATGAGGTGTAGGTTTTGTTTCCTTTTATTGAAGCGCTTCAGCAAAAGAGACCCCATCCAATTCAAGATGCCAGGACTCAGAACAAAGGATTCATCAAGCTTTTATGCAGTTTTTTAAGGCGGGATAAACAAGCATTATCTAATAGGCATTTTGAAAATTATCTAAAGGGTCCTCTATTGCTCCATGCCATCCCTATTTCTAAGTCTTAACTAATAAACACTTTAAAAGTTATCTAACCAGTATTCCATTGGCTCTGTCTTAGTCCTATTCCTTATCTTAGCAATATGTCTTGTATGATGTCCCTGTCAGTCAGCTCTTAATATTTGTTATGCAGGCATTATACACATTTATTTATTTATTTATTTTATTCAATTTGTATCCTGCCCTTCTCCTAGTGGACTCAGGGTGGTGCACAGCCAGAACTAAACACATACCATACAAAATTTAAAATTTTAAAAGAATTATAT